GATCTTTACACACTGATTTTCTTGGCAATTCGTTATTATTTATATCGCAAGTCATTTTTATAAAGTTTCTGTTACGTGTGAAGATTATCACTGAACACTTGTCAACAGTTGAATGTATTTCATTTATCAAAGTAAGCAAATAAGAGTGATCTTAAGTTGCTGATCTGAGGAACTCCTGACGTTACCAAATATTCCTCTGAGAAAGAATTACCAACTCTAACTTGTTGGCTTTTATCTGTTAGAGATGTATTCAGAAACATTACTGAATTATTTGAAAGGCCGAATGTGCCCAGTTTTTTTAATAACAAGCCATGATCAACTCTATCAAATGATTTTGCACAATCAGTAAAGATTACATCCATTTGCCTTTTAGTGTTTATAAATAATTTTGATCTGGTAAGGTGTTATCTTCATTTTCGATATATTGGCCATTAAATTTTTCGTTGAAAAGGTCGACCCATCGGTTCAAGACCGAGGCTGTATCGTTTAGGATATTTGCCTCTCCATCCTTCTCTTCTAGGGCCTGGTATTCCCACTTTGTTCTTCTTATCTCTGATAAGAACTGGTTTGGTTTTCTCCAATAGTCCTGTTAACTTCTCAAATATTATGTTTCTACGTTTTTTCCACGATTTCTCCACCACCTCCAGGCGCTCCATTTCCTCATCCATTTGTCTTCTATACTCTCTCATAACGGTTTCATTACGCAGACTATCCACATTAATTTTGTCTTGTTTCACATGTTTCTTGTCATTACAAGAAAGTGGTCATTATATATGTTTGGACCTTGGTAGCTTCTGGCGTCCATGAGATCGGAAAAGTGCATTGCGAATATTAGGATGTGATATATCTGGTTAACGGTATCGTTGTCAAGAGATTTCTGTTTCTTTGTATATCATGTTATGGAAAAATCTTGTTTTCTCTCTTACTATCACGTTTTTGGTGCTTGCAAAGTTTATTAGTCTCGATCCGTTATCGTTTGACTCTTCATGTAAGCTCTCACGTCCCATAGTTGACTGTAAAATTGACTATTTTTCAGTTTTTGTATTTAGGTCTCCGTAATTATTTTTACGTCGTGACTTGGACATCAATCATATCCTTTAAGGTGTCGTAAAAATCATCTTTTTCGTCGTCTTCCTGTTCTTCCGTAGGTGTGTGTACACTAAGTAATTTAAATAATACGGAATTTTCCTTTAAGACGAAGATAACATATTCTGTCTTGTTTATGGGTTTAAAGTTAAAAACTAATTGCTTTGCTTTGTTATTGAACAGAACACCACTGCCAAACTTGCTTGTGTCGGGTGATATGTCCGCTATAGTATATATTGCAGTCCATCTCATCTCATGAATCTCGGTTTCCTATTTGGTCTTTTACCAAGACTCTCAACTGGAAAACCGACATTCAAGATGCCCTAAATACGGTGAGAAAGAGGTTAAAACTCCTGACAGTGCTAGCCGGCAAAATGGGCAGGACGTCATCTAAAACATTATTGCACACCTACAAAACTTTTATAAGACCAATTATTGAATACAAGGCATGCATCTACGCATCCCTTAACACCTACCAATTTAACGACATTATAGCCACCCAAAAGAAAATCCTGACACTCTGCATGAGACAGTGTAGTCACCATTCATCAGCACACCATATATATATATATATATATATATATATATATATATATATATATATATATATATATATATTAGCTAATATGACACCTATTAAAGACTATAGAATCCTATTCCTCAGCAGGATTTATTATGTCCTTTTAACCATCACAGGCTCGAACAATCGAGCAAAACTTATACTAAAGACGCCTTGCACTCGCTGAGGGCAAATACTCACCAGGTTTAGTCAAAGAAAAGTTCCGTTCACTCCAGCTAAGCTTCTACACAACACTGGACACGAACTTCCTGATGAGTATTTTGATATTCTAGAAACATTCCCCATTAAATATTGAAGCTAAAAACTGCATCCCAAGAATGCTGATTAAGAGCCGTACCTAGTATGGTTGGTAACCACTGAAGTACCTGCTTCGACATGTTTGGCTTCCCTCACCAATAATTCTTCTTGTGCGCTTCATATAACATATCGTCCACACATATACGCCACCTTCTGAACCCCAGCTTTTTAGGAGTCTACTATATCTCAACAAACCAACATCAATCATCGCGTTTTGTCAGGCCCCCATTACTTCGCAAAAAAAGGAGTAACCCTTCCTTGAAGAGGCGACAGTATAAACAAGGTTAAAACTCTGGTTCCATCTCTTGAATCGCTGTTCATCGGTTTTCATTTTATCTAGTTCTCTTATCAGAAATCTAAGAGTGCCTTGAGAGGTAAAGAGTTTGTAAGTTCTGCGTGTAAATCCATAAATCGTTATATTCTGTTGTTTTCTAGATCGTCGTGAATTCATTTCAGATTTTACTCTTTATGCTTTCATAACAATAAGTTTTTTATGGGGAGAGGTGGTTTTGCCCAATTCCCTAGTCTTCGGAGGACCATTTCTTCCGCTCTCGTTATCTCTGACCCTACTTTCCATTGGCGTTGGTTACCACAATCTTCCAGAGGGTTGCTCAGGGCTACCGGGTTTCACCAAGTGAAGGTAAGAGTCAGAATTAAGTAGGAGAGGCTAGTGACACCAATAGGATACATACAGGATACGCCATATTTTGCGAGTCACTATACCATTTGAATCCTAATAGACACAACCATATTAGTCATATAATTAAAAATCGAAAGTAAATTTACCTGAAAATATGAATACAGTACAATATTGTACAACGTCATCATTAAAATAATATGAGAACTATAATTAGGAAAAAAGATGCCTTTATTAACAATGTAGCTTATAGGTTCTATTATCTTCTTAGTGCAATATTAATTTAAGCTAGTGCGTACGTGAGAATAGAGATTAAAGCTATGTATAATTGAATGCGCGCTCTGTGCAACGCGTGAACCGCGCGCTACCCACGTTTACCATCGGCATCTAAACATTCCGTATATGTATTTGGCACCTAGGACTTTTCTATTGGTCCTTTGCGGCACGTGGCCATGTGTCAACCAATAGGCGGCGAGGTGCCAAACACGTATATAGAATGTTACTTTGGTGCGAAATTCATATACGGAATGTTAAATCTTCGCAGGCCAAAAAAGACGACTTTTCATTAAAATCAGAAAAGGAGAGTGACTTGCAAATATTTGTTATTGTATTATTAAAAAAAAAGTAAATTAGTGCAATAGGAAATAAAACAAAATATATTTAAATAAACAATAAAAAATTTAAAATTTTTAAAATATAATATTTATACGAAATTCAATGTCCTTCGCCATTTTTAGTTTCATTTGTTTAATTTGCTGCGATGTTGGACGAAATATTGTGACTCCTTTTAAATCTTTTCTTAGAAAGTTGAAAATTAGGTGGTTGTCCAAATGGTAATCTATTTGACCCTCTAGTAACTTTCTTCGACTGATTGAAGTTGGTTGCACCCTTATATTGGCTTTGTATTCAAATCGCTTCCCGATGAACTTCCTACCATGTTTAAAAAACTTTCCCAATCCGTTTTTGTTTTAATATGGGATAGTCGTTCGCGCAACAAAATTTTTGTTGTTCAGCTGTTTCATTTTTGTTTAAAAAAATATCTTCTCCTCAATTATTTTCATGACTGTTATCAAGGCTGGCATTAATATAATGGTTCTGTAACACATTAACTGGATAATGACAGCCCTCTATAAAATGAATAAGTTTAAGCTTTTTCGCCGAAATCTAATTTATCTACTTCGTATCAATTTTCAGGATTAGCAGCTGGAACGTTGCAAAGAGATAGAATATATTAAAAAAGTGTGCAGTCTCAGCTTAATGCTTGCAAAATGCAACCAATATTCCAATTTCGCAGCTGCAAAATCCTGTTGCTATATCGATTTCGTAAAGCACAGAATTATTCTGCTCACTAGGAAATTTGTATAAATTTTTAGATAATTTAATTATATCTTTCTGTTGATAACAGTGATGAAAATAATGTTAGAGAAGATATTCTTTTAAACAAAATAAAACAGTTGAACAACAAGAATATTCTTTTGCAGATTTTTTTAATACGCTACAAGATAAAAATGTTTCATTTGGAACTTATTCGTCAACGTTAAAGTTATTGCACGAAAGGTTATCCCAGATTTAAACTAAAACTGCTTGGGAAACTTTTTGAAACATGACAGGAAGTTCCTCGGCAATGCAAATTGAATACAAGGCCAATATTAGAGTGCAACCAACTTCAATCAGTCGAAGAAAGTGGGGAGTTACTAGAGGGTCAAATAGATTACCATTTGGACAACCACCTAAAGTTCAACCTCCTAAAAAAAAGGTTTAAAAGGCGTCACAAACTTTCGTCCAACATCGCAGAAAATCAAACAAATTCAACTAAAAATGACGAAGGTCATTAAATTTCGTATAAATATTACATTTCAAAAATTTAAAATTTTTTATTATTCATTTAAATATATTTTGTTTTATTTCCTATTGCACTGATTTACTTCTTTTATTAATAAATTAACAAAGGTTTTAAAATTACCCTCCTTTTTTTAATTTAATAAGAAGATAAGAAGGCGTCTTTTTGGGTCTACGAATATTTAACATTCCGTATATGAATTTCGCACCAAAGTAACATTCCATATACGCGTTTGGCACCTCGCCGCCTATTGGTTAAAACATAGCCGCGTGTCGTAAAGGACCAATAGAAAAGTCCTAGGTGCCAAATACATATACGGAATGTTTAGATGCTTACCGTCGGGATAACGTGGACTCGCCTATAGTGTTTATGTTATGTTTATTGCATTCTGCGCTTGTTGGATAGCCCAAAACTGACGAAATGCCCCTGATGATGCTTTAGAAAGTTACTTGGACAACATTTAATTAATAAAATTGTGCTCGATGTCTGCCTTTAATTTTATCAAAGTTCATTTATTCGAGCATTCAACCTTATATCAATTTAAAATATATTTGTTTCAGACTTTATGCTGCGGTCCTCTTCCAAGACAGCTTCAAAAGTTATCCTCATGTTTAACTACAATTCTAGCATTTCTTGAGTGCCCTGTATGTTTAGACACTATCTCTTCTCCTACGTATCAATGCGATAATGGCCATTTAATCTGTATAAAATGCAGAACCAAGACAGAGCGATGTCCAGTATGTAGAATTAGACTTCACAGGGGAAGATCGCTAATGGCAGATCATGTAAGTACAGTTTCATTTTCGTTACAAAAAACCGCAAATTAACAACAGTGATGGCAATTCCCTTGTGGCACATTTAAGAGCTAATATTCTTCTTCTTATTGTGCCATCTTCTAACGAAAGTTGGCGATCCCTTCTTTAAACGCTGGCCTTTCTTTTGCAACGTGAAATATCTGTTCAACGATAGGTTGACCGTTTAACGATACCGGATGGCAGTTTCCCTTGCGGTTTGTAAATATTACCTTCACAGATTTTGTCTCGTTGGCTTGTAGACGCCACATTTTTAGCAAAGTTTGTATTGCATTTACGTTAGCCTGTACTCTGTGTGTGATGCTATAGCTGGGGCTTCATGAGAAGTGTAATGCACTGTCCGAGAACACTGCCTTGAGGGATTCCAGTCATAATTGGGTAAAGTTTGGTATACTCATCGTGATGTTTTATACGGTAATGGCGGTCTTGCAAGTAGGACCTTAGGATTTGGAAGTAATTGTTCGCAACGGATTTTTTGATTTTGAATAAAAGGTCATTATGCCAGACTTTATTAAATGCCTGGGAGATGACTAAGATGATCCCCAAAAAATATTTTTTATTTTCCAGTGATTGGCGTATTTATTAGTAAACACGGTGAATTTGTTCAGTAGTAGCGTGCTGTGGCCTAAATTGGCTCTATTCTGTGTAACAGCAGTTTTTCTAATATTTTAGACATAATATGGAACAGGCTAATAGGTCTGTAAGACTTTATTTCCTCCAAGGATTTTCCGGGTTTTGGAATTATTAATATTATTTGGGCTAATTTCCAAACTAGAGAAAAATATCCTGTTCTTAATATGACTTAATACTAGGAACTTCTTGGGGTTTAATTAAGTATAAATAACATTATTGACTTAGTTCAATGTAAACTTTTTTAGAGGAGTTGCAATTTGATATGGAGATTCTAGATAAATTTGGATTTAATTATCTATATTAATATGTTCATCTGCAGGAAAAGATTTTAAGGTAAAAGCCATTTTAAGATGTTCAGCAAAAAGTTAGGCTTTCTCTTTATTGCTTTTTGCCCATGCGCCATTTTTAGTATGGATTGGAAGGTTGGAGAATTGAGGACGTTCTATTTGCCTGGTTATTTTCCAGAGTGAATACTCAGTAACTTCTGTAGGCGAAAGATGTCTGAGATTAGAATGTATATCATTATTTTTGTGGTTATTTAATAACGCTTTAACTGTGCTGTAGCTCTATTTAAATTTGGTCTTGTCATGTAGTGAAAGGGTGGAGGGCGGTTTATTTCCTTGATTTCCATGCAGCTTCTTGTGTGGATTGGTTAAGGTATTCTGTGACATTGTCAATTTCCAGGTTTGTTTTTAGTAAGATATTTAATTTAATAGTTAATAATTCTTTGAATTGTTCCCAGTTTGTGGATTTGTTAGTTAATGTAGCAGATGATGTTCTTTAAATGATTTCTGATTTTACTTCTATTAAAACAGGAGAATGGTCAGAAGACAGATCATATCAAGAAGAAACCCTCGAATGGTTGTTTGGTAAACCCATGGTGATACCAAAATCTACCAGATCTGGTAGTTTATTTCTGTCGATAAGACAGTAGGTAGGTTCGCCCGTAGATATGTTTTTAAGATTATTATCTTGCATACACATATAAAGTTGTCTTCTTTTTGGAGAAATAAGTCTAGATCTCCAGTGTATATGTTTAGAGTTGTACTCTCCGCCTACCATCTTGCATACACATATAAAATTGTCTTCCTTTTGGAGAAATAAGTCTAGATCTCCAGTTTATCTGTTTAGAGTTTTACTCTCCGCCTACCAATAATTTGTTTCTAGAGATCTGAAGAACTGTGTGAAGTATTGTTTGTTTATATTATCTCGTGGTGGACAGTAGATGGCTATTATTGTGAATGGCTCTTCTTAATCTTCAATGGATATACTGGTGGCCTGAAAATAGTCTTTAGTAGTTTTGCTACGCTACGCTCGTGATGCTTAATTGATTTCTTAGTTATGACTGCAGATTCGTAGTGTGCCATACCGTTTGGATGATCGGTGCTGTATATTACATAATCAGGACATTTGAAATAACTGCGACTGGTAAAGTGCTTTCAGATATCATCATTATGTCAATGTTATTGTTCATTATTAAGGCTTTGACCTCTTGGGCATATTGGATTAACCCGTTGGTATCCCAGAGTACCATTTTAAGAAACTTAGTCATTTGGACAGTATAGCGATCACTGTAGTCAAAAGGTTTCACAGGTCAAAAACATCATACTCATTTATTCAATGAGTCCTTTCATCATTTGTTTCATATGGAACATATCGCCTTTGGTTTTATGTGCTGCCTGGTTTTGGTATTGCTGCACACTTGTGCTAGGGAGTTCCATTTGTTTGTACCTGAGCGTATGTAACGCTCATAATGCTAATATTGGTAGAGTTAACTTGCTTTTAAAAATATGGTTTAGGTACTGACTAGACGTTACCAACAATAACTTATCGTTTAATATAAATTGCCTACATTATTAAGGTATTACACTGTTCTGGGATAAAGTAGATGTTAATACGTTTTAATTTTCACAGCATTTCTCTTGTATCGCAAAAAACTGTCACTTTTTTCTTTCAAGTACTATTTTTATTTAATATGAATTAGTAATAATGTATTTTTTTTAAGGTATTTACCGCAATAACCGATATATTTGCCCCTTATGAAGAAACCAAAGAAGCAAGAGTAGCAAATATTCAAAAAATATTTAAAAAGAAAGACAAAAATAAAGCCATACCAGATATAATAATTACAGAGTCATACACCAACAAATTAATTTCAAAAATAGTGGGAAAATCATCTTCAGCAGACAATCTTTCGACTACCTCGAAGTACTTAACCATAGATGACGCAGTTTCTGATAATAATTCACAATTAAAAGTAAAGTCTCTTTCTGTTAATGAGATTTTTACATCACACACATCTGCATTAAGTAGAAATGGATCTCGTTCTAGACTAGACAAGACCTACCTTAGTACAGAGAACACCAGAAAAACTGATGAGCGACCCATATCTTTTCATGGATCATTTGAATCTTTGGGGCAGCAGGCAGATTTTATTTCACCTTTATGTAGCAGTTTTAATTCTTTAGAGGTGGCAGTTACAGGCGGGAATGCGATTACTTCTTACTATTGTCCGTTTCTAAATAGTTGCTCTTCAGTACTAAAAGGTAAGTTTGTTATATATTATATAACTAATAGCCTGAGTTAGCCCTAGTTAAGATTTCGCCATACTTTTATGGCTTTATGACTTATACTTTTATGAATTTATCCAGAGCTGAAATATGTTTAAAAAATTAATGAACTGCTGGTATATTTTAAAAATTTTCTAAGATAATCATAACTAAAGACAGAATAGTTTCAAGAAAAAACTGCTAGAGCTTATAATATAATTTAACGTCTATATAATTATAAATAAAACATATAGGGGAGAGGCTGGAACAGTGGCCAGTTAAGTACAGTGGCCACTTTTAAATATTTTGTTGTTGTTTGATAGATACAGACGCGCCATCTAGTACAAACGCTAATAATTTTAGTCACAGTAGTCGCTTACTACGTGGAGAGCAGCTCACCAAGGTGAAATTGTTTGTAGAGTTTGGTCTGAGGAGCAAATGCCAGAAGAATGGAGCTTAGGCTTAATTTGCCAGTTACACAAAAAGGGAAACCAACTGGAATGCAATAATTACCGCGGAATAACTCTCCTAAATACAGCATACAAGATATTATCAAATATTTTGCACGAGAGATTAAAGCCTTATACTGAAATGTTTCTAGGGGAATATCAGGCAGGATTCAGGCCTGGACGTTCAACCATTAACCAGATCTTTACACTACGACAGATCCTCGAAAAAGCGCAAGAGTTTAACATAGATATGTATCATATTTTTGTCGATTTTAAAGCGGCATATGACAGTGTCTTAAGACCAAGTCTTTACAACGCTATGAATGAGTTAGGAATTCCAAAAAAACTAATATGTTTGATAAAAGTGACAATGGCGAAGATGCTATCAGCGGTAAAAATTCAAAACGACTCGTCAACCCCATTTCAAATACATAGGGGGTTAAGGCAGGGAGATGCGCTGGCGTGTCAGCTTTTTAATGTCACCTTAGAAAAAGTTGTACGAGACGCTAATTTAGATAGCAGGGGAACAATATTTAATAGATCAGTCCAAATTCTAGCATATGCAGACGACGTGGACATTATAACAAGAACTAGGGCGAGAACTGCGGAAATCCTAACCGAGCTAGTAGCAGCAGCAGAACGAATGGGGTTACATATAAATCAAAATAAAACCAAATTCATGGCGACTAACACAAACACAAGAGCTGGAAATGTTAACACAAATTTCTTAACTTCGAAGCAGTCAATGAGTTCATATATCTAGGGACATCGGTTAACCCCAATAACAATACATCTTAGGAAATAAAAAGGCGAATAATAATTGCAAACAGGTGTTATTATGGTCTATCAAAGTACTTAGCTAACAAACGTCTGTCTCAAAAAACTCGTATAATGCTGTATAGAACACTGATAGTCCCCGTTCTCACATACGGATCAGAGGCATGGACGCTAACGAAAACAGATGAATCCGCTCTATCCATTTTTGAAAGAAAGGTGCTACGCAAGATATTTGGAGCGGTCTGTGAGAACGGAATATGGAGGCGTAGATATAACTTCGAACTGCAGAATATCTACAAGCATACGTTTGGTGGTAAAGATATTACCACTATAATTAAGCGAAACCGCCTGCAGTGGGCAGGACATGTAGCCCGGGCCCCTGAATCGAACATGATAAAAAAGATTCTAACAGCGCAACCTGTGGGAATGAGACGACGGGGTAGACCAAAGCTGAGGTGGATGGATGGGGTAACACAAGATGCGGAGAAGATCGGAGCCGGCAACTGGAAAATTCAAGCAAGGGACAGAAAAGAATGGCGTAGAAAGCTTGAGAAGGTCGAGGCCCTCTAAGGGCTGTAGCACCAAGATGATGATGATGATGAAGTCGCTTACTACACTGGACCCCTGCGCCATCACGATACACTTACAACGGTATGCTACGTTTGGAATAAAAACGTGTCTTTGACGCGCAGTTACGTCACGTCGATGCATCTAGCTGTTGTATCTTATGGTGTGAGATAGTATTTTCAGTGTTTTGAAATCTATTTCGTGGTTTTTAGTAAATCGTTGTTTGTTGTATGTTTAAATTTGAAAAAAAAAACTATTGTTAACTATCCTATAGGTGATTAAAAGTGCGTGTAAATTATTATACCTATTTAAAATGCCGTCGTGTACCGACAGAAAGTACTGAAAATAGAGTTCAATTTAATGCATGGAACGTCACTTTCTAAATAGAAAAAAATATTTTCATTGATAGCTGACCGTACTGTTGCCATGCTTGGTAATGAACTAATATACCTTATGAAGTTATTTATCGCCTTATTGTTCGACGGATTGTTCGATTCGGCGCAATCACTGTGACGAGATGGTGACGAGACGTGACTGATGTGTCTGAATCGAGCTTAAGTGTATCGTGTGCACCATCGTTTCCAGAACCATTTTGTATACGAACCTGTTGAGAGGTGCATTGTGTAGAAGTAGCAGGTAAGTTTAAACATCTTTTCAACCAATAATAATATACATATTAAATGTTCTGTATGTTTTGTTATACTGTAGTATAGGATTTAAAACTTGCAGGTGAGGCAATTTATGATCTATCTTTAAAGTAGTAGATTTTAGGTTATGTCTCCTAAATAATGAGCTTTTTTGGTACAGTGGTTACACACTGTTCCTACATACGTTTGTAAAAAGTAGTGGCCATTGTTCTTTTTGCAAAAAATATAAATAATTTTGTTTCAGATACTAATATGCCACGGAAAATACCAAAAAATCCCGGTATTGGAAAAACTACAGATGAAATATGAGAAAAGCGATTTATGATGTTTAGAAAGGTAGATTATCGCAAAAGGCTGCTGCTTTAAAATACAACATTCCACGAACTACGTTTAGGAGTTATTTTAAAAAGAGCAACGAAAATAAAGATAATACAGATTGGGCTTCAGATGTTCTTGAGGGAGCTCTAAGATTAACACCAAATTATGGTATCAATCAAATTTTTTCTTCAACGGAGGGAAAAGAACTGAGTAATTATTTACAGACGATGACCAAGCTTCATCATGGTCTCAATCCGAAAGGTGCTAGATAACTAGCTTATGATTTGGCAATTGCTAACAGGAAAAAATACAAACTTCATAAGAAGAAAACAAGATGGCAGGCAAGTTTTGGTTTACAAGTTTTATGAAACGAAATTCAGAACTATCATTACGATCAGCAGAAGCAACTTCAATAGATAGGGCATGGGGTTTAATCGACCAGTCGTTCCAAATTTTTTTAGTAATCTTAAGAAGATTTATGAAAAATATGCATTAACACCTAGTTAGGTATACAATGTTGACAAAACAGCACTAACAACTATGCAAGATACAGGAAAAGTAATAGCCAAAAAGGGACAGAAACAAATAGACCATATAGTTTCAAATGAAAGAGACACTTTGGTAACCATGTGCAATGCAATAAACGCTTTACATAATTCGATTCCGCCGTTTTTAGTGTTCCCTAGGAAATTTTTTAATTATATGGTATATGATTATATGGTTAAAAACGCACCTGCAGGGTCCCATGGATGTGCTGAACCATCTGGATGGATAACAGCAGAATTATTTGATCAGTGGATAATACATTTTGTCAAACATACTAATCCTACAAAGGAATCTCCCATTTTACTAATTATGGACAACCATGAGAGTCATCTTTCTTAAGCATCTATTAAATTTGCAAAAGAAAATAATATAATCTTGTTGACTTTGCCGCCAATTACTAGTCATCGCCTTCAGCCACTAGATAAAGCTGTATTTGCTGAAGAAATATTACTCACATGGTTGTCAAAATTGGTTATTGAAAAATCCTGGAAAGAGGATAACTATTTACGACATAGCAGAGATTTTTAGCCACGCTTATCCAGTTACTTTCTGTCCCAAAATTGTGGTATCAGCTTTTAAAGCTACTAGGGTATTTCCATTCAATGATAACATTTTTAATGACGATGATTTTGTGGCTTCAACCGTAACACACATGCCAAACATACATCAAAAAGAACAACAACCAAATAATTTAAATGTTAGCGATATACCACAAATGGACATTCAGTTTCCTTCAACATCAACTTGTCCTGATAAAATACCAGAAACAAATCAGAAACATCCATCGAAAATAACACCTGAAAAGAAAACTGTTTCTTATGAAGCGATGGCAACTTCCAAGAACATAGCCGACAATCGATTTATTTCCCTTTTATTACTGCAACCATACCCTAAAGCTACCTTATTGCCATTAAAAAAAAAACAAAGAAAAAAGAAGACTACTGAAATTTTAACTGATACACCAATTTATAAAAGAAGAGAAGTGGAAACAGCAGAAAGAATATCAAGGCAAAGTAGGGTGAAGAGAACTAAGACAACAGTAAAAAGAAAAATTGATAGTTCAAACAAGTCGAATAGAAGTAATGCAAAGAAAAATAAAAGCATACCCAGTGATGACAGTAACAGTGACATTCATTTGTCTGATGTTGTGGATTCCGACGATGTTAGTCTATTTTCAGAAGTAGATGAAATTTCTTCTTCCACGAATGGTGGAAGTGAATTCATTTGTTCTCGTAAGGTTTCAAACAAAGAAAACTTCAAAATTTTATATTGCACAAGTTACAGAAGTTTTTTCTTCTGTTCAAGAATGCAATGTCAATTTTGTAAATGTCACGGAATACAGTTTTCATTTCCTACAGTTACAGATTCTGCCACAATTACAAAAGAAGATGTTGAACTCATTTTAACCCAACGAAAAAGTGCTGGAGCAACACAACGAACAGCAAATTTGTTTACTTTTAAAGCGGATTTATCATCTTATAATATTTGTTAAAGATTAATATCACTTTTCTTTTTTTATGAATAATATAAATAAAAATATAAGAATTGCAAGTAATGATCACTGTAGTACAGTGGCCAAATTTTTAATAAAAATAAAATTAGTTACTCCTGCATAACCTGTATTTTTTTGGGATTACAGAGTACATTTTTAATTTACCAAGTGCTTTGACGTTGTTTGGGTTGATATTTATTAATATATTATGATTTATATTAAAGTTATCTTAAATTTACTCG